TTTTTTTACGTGGCTTTTACGAGTCGTTTGATACGCAACGGTTAGAGCAAACACGGGACTTAACGGGCACATGGTCGGACCACGGGCCAATTCGTCTAACGCGTGCTAAAACTAAACGCATCGGAAGCATTTATGCCCGTTTGCCCGCATACACACACGCGTCGCACGAGCTCGCGCGACGTTGCTCGTTATTCCACGGCGAAACTCAAAGCGCGCGCGTTATTACTCGTCGCTTCGAGGGACCAGCTCCGGAATTTTTTTTAACGCGGCTGGTCGCGACTCCAGGGTGTTTCAGCCGCGCGACTATTACGAGATCCTCTTCTTGCTTACGTACGCGTACGCGCATGCCGTCACGTCACGTCATTCGTGCCGGGTTAATTTACAAATCTGTCCGCGCTCCGAGCAAACAAACAGTCGTTGGCGTGTTTCCCGAGCTTTCAAACCTTCGACAAAAGCACGTTGCACTGGCGCGCACTTTTTCCCTTTCCCGTGTCCCTTTTTTTTTTTTTTTTTTTTGCACTAACGCGCAACGCAAAAATCGATCACTCTTTCTTTCGCGTACCGATGACCGAACGCGGCTCTCGTTTTTCTTTTTTTTTTTTTTTTTTCAACGTTTTTAGTATCCTACGCGGTAAATACATGTATATATATATATATATGAAAGTGTTTATCAAGAGTGGTTTCAACGGCACGCGGACTCTACTCGTCGACGATCTAACATCAGTTCACACACGTGCCACGGGTGCACGATTATACTGTCCAGAGTTCCTCCACAAAACGTCAAACACTCGGCATTAGAGTTGTCACTGGGCGGTTAGTTCGTTATCAATGTTCGTACAACACGGCAAGTGTCCACCGAAAGTGTCTCTGAAAAGAAGTGGATTTCTCTGGTCGATTACTCACCACCATTCTGCGCGATAATCGGGTCGATAGCCACCAACAGGACGAGGAAGATAGGAGTCATATTGACCACCCTCTTTCCCGTCTTCCCTCGGTCTCCCGTGATCACTGCACACTTAATACCACCGTTGCAGCGTTCCACCTATGAAAAAACAAATCACGCTCGTCATAACATACCACCTTCACCACTCCAGTTGCGCTGGACGTCTTCGGCCAGAGTGAGCCGAAGTGTGACAGACGACTTGGAGACAGGCGAGCGAGCCTGTGTGTCGAGTAAGAAAGGCCAAAGAATGAAACAGGACGGGAGATTCTTCGTTCTCGAGCTGAGCAAAATTCCAGTTTCGCACGATGTTCGAAACGACGCGTCGCCAGTCACACGCGAGTGAACGTTGCTGCGTTACCGGCTTTGCGCTTAACGCGTATATACAAAAATACTATTTATCGGTGTGATTCGTCGGTAGCCGAGAACAGCAGACGACGAGCACGCACGGACTAGGGAAAAACGGAAACGCCTGGTCAGCGAAAATCGAACGTAACTAACGACACTCGCCATTTACTACCGGCACGGCGTTCTGTAACCTACGTGGGGACGCGAGTCTCGCGACACGCGAGCTCGCACACGGCCGACCAAGAGAAAAGCGGCAAGTTTTTCACGAGCATCGTTAACAATCGCGCGGTTGTGATCTAATCGCATCGAGAGAGTTCCTCTGTTCACACGCTCTGTTCCCGTTGGCACGACGGATCCCTCTTTTTCTGCTTCCCGTGCGTTGCGATTACCAGATCCTCCGCTCTCGGACCGACCTCGAGGACGAAGTTCTTCGCCGAAAAAGCTCGCTTCCAAAAAAAACCTGGCCCAGCCGATGTATTTCCCCGGAGATCAACGCACTTCTCTCTTCCCGTTCTCTGCCATCCCGTTTCTCAGCCACTTCACTTTACGATGCGATTCTACTCCTTTTCCTCGTTATCTTTCCCCGCGATCCCGACGACGGACACGCTAATAACGTATATCGCGATAGCCCACGAAGAAGATTGGAAACATTCGTCTTCTCGTTATTTCCTTTCCGTTTCTTTCTTGCCGAAGCTCTCAGCACTCCCCCTTTCTCTCTTTCTCTCTCTTTTCCTTTTCCTCTTCTTTTCCCTTTCCCTTCTCCTTTCTCGTGTGTGCAATTTCAACTACCTCCAAACGATTACCTGCACTCTTTCTTTCGATGATTCCACGACCATTCCATATTTTTCACCACGTTCGCCGCTCGAAAAGCTGATCTTCCTCAGCGAGCTTCCCCCTCCCTGTGAAAACTTTATCGCGCACCACGTTCACTTCAGATCTAGAAACGTTCCTCTCGGAAACGTTCTATCGCCTCAGTTACATCTTTCGATCGGTGAATTCTAATCCTCCCTCCGTCTTTTCGCTCGACTCGCGATCGATTACGCTCCTCCTCATCTTATCTATCGAGAAACATCCGAATATCAGCTTTTCAGTTTCAGCTCCTCTGCGCTCCGCGTTGTTTCCTTTCCGTACTAATTCCTCCGAGGTGACTTCGGTATCATCTCCGTCTATACTTTGGACGTCGGTCGAATTGGATCAGAGTTTTCCAACGAAACAGCGAATCGAACGGACAACGTACAACGAACGTTCGAAACGAACGAAAGAACGACGAAAGAATCACCGGCTACTCAAATCTCATTCGGGGGAGAAATATCCGAGGATGGTTCGCGCGCGTCCTTTTCCTTTCCCTCGATTCGTGTCACATTCTCTCGGTGGTTGCCTCGCTTTCTTCTTCGCTTCCTTCCGTCGATCGTCCGACCGAAACTACACCTCTAAGAATTTTTGCGATTTAAAATGGCTGAGGGCTAAAGCGATTGTGCGCACAACGCGAACCATTTTCGCGAACTATCTGCTGCTCGCTTGCTGGCTGCCGCTTCCTCGCTACCAGGATATTCCTTCCTGCGTTTCCTTCCCTCTTTGCTTCCCGAGTTGGAAAACTCCACGGTCGAAGAGGAGTTCGCGCGGCTCCGGAGACCTCGTAGCACAAGACCACTTTCGCGGGACGTTATCGCGACGCGGAGAAAGAGAAACGAGGGCGAGGAAGAAGGGGAGGAGAGGAGCACGTGTGAATCTTGCCGCAAACTCAAGGTTAAATTGCAAAATAACCCAGCGACACGCTGAGGGATGATTCGCGTTGAGGGTAGTTTTCTGAACGCGCGCTGCGGCTTGACTGACTCATCCCCATACCCCCCGACGATACCCCCTCGCGACCTGCCGTCCGACGACGCGCAAGCGCCGCAACCCCCCCTGAGGCCGACTTCGCCGTGTACGAAACGCCTATGAATTCGCGCCGTGGAAAAATTTTCAATCGCCTTTAAATATTCCGCCACTTTAAGGAGAAAGCGAGAGAGAGAGCGAGCGAGAGAGAGAGAGAGAGAAAACAGGAAAACGCTGTCGGCAGAAATCCGAGAACACTTGGAGATTGAACATTAATTCAGGCTTAATTCGCAGCCCCGACCCCCCAACGCGTGTTGAGCGTTTGACGAGCTATTCTCGCTCCGAATTCCAAACTAGTCTGCTTCTCAACTTCGTAGGGGTAGAGTAACTTTAGAAAAAATTGCTCTGCAGCGTGTGCGCTGCGGGAACTATTTCGAAAAAGATAGGGGGGGGGGGAGGAGGGAAGCGAGTAAAACGACAGAGAGTGGATAGGAGAGAGAAGAAGGAAACGAAGAAGAAGAGCGACGTGGTAGAGAGAGGGTGGTTTCGGCGCTGGTTTAAACGCGACGCATGCGTTCGCCGCGCCGATAGAGGATGTCCGGGGTGAGCCGTCGCCGTACTCTGGCCGACGTATCGCAGTTTCTAGCTCGATGTTTGTCCGCGTGGTACTCCCAGGGACGGTGCTCTGCTCGTCCGCGACCACGAGGCGAGTCGGAGAAGAGACAGAGAGAAACATCGCCGAGAGACGGACGAGAGTGCCAGGCGACTCGCGCCCAACCTCCGACGAGAGAAACGCGACAAGCTTGCCAGTTTAGAGAGACTAACATGCACATCGATACATCGCCGCGACGCGATCTTCGACGCTTGCGCTGCTCGACGACCGAAATTCGCCGGTCGACCGGTTTCTTTCTTTCTTTTTCGTTGCTTCTTCGGTGCGAGGCTTCTTCGGAAGATGCCCTTGCTCGTCGTCCAACCACAACGGAAGAATTCGGGAAGGCCCCTGGGAGTACAGCGAGCTTCCAAGGCCGCCACAAGGAAACCCTCGCCGTCAACGCGACACTCTTTTCGAAGCGGGTAAGTAAGGCCAATCGTGTGTGTGCGTGTGTGTATGTACACTTTCCAACACTTTCTTCTTCCGCCTTTTCTCCCGTCGTTCATTATTAACGCGCCTCCCGCGCTCGTGTCAATCGAGTTTTCTTCTTCTTCTTCCTTTTCTTTTTTTTTTTTTTTGCCGATTAAAAAACAAAGTCGAGCGAAAGAGAATTTGCTACGTCGAGTCTCCCGTGGACGGGCAAAGAATTATAAATTTGAATTTCGAAGTGAAACGCGATGTCGAGTGTTGGATTCTGTGTTTCCGTGTGTTCGACAGTTGACAAAATATGTTTCCTCGTGTTTTACTTTCTTTTTTTTGCATATTACTTTGACTGGTACTATAGGGCCAAAAAATTCGCGGACAAATTTGCTTTGCCTCAATTTACAATTTGAAATAAAACCAAATGGGATTCGGCGATAGGGAGGATTTTACGACTTGAAACCGATGACGCGACAATAATCTGACGCCATCGAGCGATCGTCCGGGACAAACGATCGATATTTACGACATTAAGGCGAGCGTAATCAACTTAATTTACGATTGCTCGTTTGGCTATCTCTCAGCAAACTCGCTCCTTCGATGGTTAGCTACCGCCTCCGTCATGGCAGAGACACCTTTGTCTAACGAAGTACACCGATTCGCCCTGCGAAATTACCGAACGTACCGTGTAACTAATTTACAAGCGAGACCAAGTTATTCTCCCTCTAATCATCGAGCCCCCGCGAGTAAAAGTGCGAGCTTCCTTTCTCTCTCTCTCTCTCTCTCTTTCTCTCTATCCGCTTTTAACCATCGTTTGCCACGCGGTAAACGAAGGGGCAAATGTATCGCGACGAGGGGTCGAAGCTAATTAAACTAGCGCGACCGCGACGACGACGATAAAACCGCCGATTGTCGCGCGATTAGACTTAACAACGACAATGACCTCGACCATTAGTAGCTGTAAAACGACGTAACGCGTCGATTCGACGAATCAAATTCCCGGATTTAAATTTCCGAAAATATCCGAAATAACCAATCGAAGAACCATCGAGTGGAGAACATATCGAACTGGCAAATCGTAAAATAAACACGCTTGCTTCTCTCATTTTCTGCTTCTTCTTCTTCTTCTTTTTCGTCGTCTTCTCAATTCCGATCTTTTTCATATTGCTCGTCAAAATAAAGTAGAAGTGGTAGTAGGTACCGGCGGACTTTGAGAAATATAAACAGGTCGACGTAACTTGGCAACGGAATCGTCGGGAAGTGCTGACGAAGAAAAAGAGAGAGAGAGACAGAGAAAGAGAGAGCCGAAGCGGTAAGGAAAGATGAAAAAAGAAACGAGGCACCGTAGCGTATCTCGAGAGAGAGAGAGAGAGAGAGAGAGAGAGAAAAGCGTGTTCCTTTGCTCCCGGTGATAATAAAAAATTCCAAGGTGCGCGTAACTTAATTTAATATCGTGGCCAGTGCACCGTGGCCCCGATGATAAATCCCTCGGCATCTCGGACCGCGCCGTTTTCTATTCTTCCATTCTAAAAATCTGCCTACTACTTCGCCACTTCGCCTCGAACAAAGGGACGACGACTAAGGTCGGAATAAGAATAACCAGGAAGCAAGCAGCGAGCCACTACGTGTAACGCGACGACTTCAATTAAAGCGAAGAAGACGGGCTAACGACTCCGAGGGAAATAAGAAACGACCGACTGGGAACGATCGAAGCGGGATATCGTCCGGTGTCGAGTCGACTGCGTAGCCTCGTTGTCGCGTCGCGAAATCCCTCGACGACAAAGGCCTTTGAAAAGTCAGAAGTTGTTTCATCGTTAATCTTCCTCCGTAATTAGAAAACGCCATACCACTCGTTCGCTGATCACTC